CTCTCTCTCTCTCTCTCTCTCTCTCTCTCCCTTGTTCATGTTACGTTGAACGACGTAAGTACTTTATCGCCACCCGTTACGCGATCTCTCGTGCTCCGGATCGCTCTTTCTCTTTTCGTTCTTGTTCACTCGATAGAAAAGAAAAGAAAGTAAAATGGAAGCAGATAAAGAGATAAAGAGAAAGAGAGAGAAAGAGAGAGAGAGAAAGAGAGAGAGAGAAAGAGAGAAAGAGAGAGAGAGAGATGATGTGAAATGAAACACTGGATCATATCTTAGAGTGATAAAAAATTGTTACTCTCGTGTAAGCAAGAAACTTCGTGTAAACAAGACGTAAAATTATTTCTTATTACTCTTCTTTTTCTTTTTCTTCTTTTTGATTTTTATTTTATATTTCTCCGAAATAAAAGAAAATTAAAAAATTAATAGATATCTGAAACGATATTCGAATAATTAAGACCATAGATACACATACACAAACATTCATTTCTTCTGAGATAATTTTTCTTTTTCTTTTTTTTGCAAGATAATGGACACTTAAACGTAAAGTCGTATTTCGTTAATACGAAAAACATGATATCGATTAATAGTCTCTCTCTTTCTTAAATTAGAAATCCAAAGAGTCCAACTAAGTTCCAATAGAAAACGTCTTCTACACTCCGATCTATCTATCTCTAACGGTCACCATAGCTCCAACGGAAATCTATAATTGAATCTAAAAGATGGTACCGAACATCGAAAAGGATCTACGTCTAAAGATTTACTGTCACCGTTCGCTTTGAATATCAATGCTGAAAAATAGAAGAAGGATAAAAAGAAAAGTACAAAAAGAAAACAGAAAAAAAAAGGACGAAAGAAAATACTCGATCTTTTTTGGTTTTATCGGATCGAATTATTATTATTATTACTATTATTATTATTATTATTATTATTATTATTATTATTATTATTATTATTATTATTATTATTATTATTATTATCATTATTAATATTATTATTATTATTATTATTATTATTATTATTATTATTATTTTCTTAATAAATTCGCCTTTGAAAGAAATAATGCAATGAAGCTAATTTTACGTCCCGTTTTCATGACATTTAAATACATATATATATGTACATAATACATCTAATATATATATATAAATAAGATATAAATAAAGTATGGGTGTGTGTGTATATATATTATCTAAGAAAATGCATAGAAAAAAGAGAATAAAAGTTTTTAAAAAGAGAAAGAGAGAGAGAGAGAGATGGACAGAGGAGGAGGAGAAGGAGGAGAGAAATTTCTCAACTACAATTGGAGCACGCGATCACAGAACATATTATACAGTTTGCATTATTAGTTCCATTGTTGGACGGCTTTTCATGAGCTTCTTTCGAGATAGCACGACTCATGGCAGACAAAGGGCCACAGAGACCTCATTCCCTCTCATCGAGCAACGGTACTAATTAAATCTACTTTCAGCGTGAGCATTTCGCATAATTTACTGCACGAGCTAAAGAAAATACTATAGGTACATAGATGTACATAGATACATAGATAGATAGATAGATATCCCTGGTTCGTTTACAGAAAACATGTTTGACTCGATCTGCGAATATAGTACGTAGATGAAAATTTCGATCAATGATAAGTACTAACAGAAGGTTCTGAAAACGTGACATCGATGAGGAATACTATAACGAGAGACACAGAGAGAAAAAAAAAAGAGAGATGATCATGCTAGTTTGTAAAGAGAAAAATATCCGAGCACAAGAGAGAAATAGGTCGCATGTGAGTTCGAAAGTTAAATTGAAAGAGCAAACGAGAGTTAAAAATGTAACGTCGCGCTAATGGATCTTGCATTTTTCCGTTGGAATGAATAAAAAAGAGGACGAAAAAAAAAAAGGAACGAAGAAAAAAGGAAAGAAAGAAAGAAAGAAAGAAAGAAAGAGAAAAATAAAGAAAAGAAAGGAAAGATTTTTCGTGCTCGCTTTTACGATATTAAAACATAAATATGTTAATGCGTATTCGCAAATCTCTTAATGAGAACATTTTGAACTTCTTCACTCGGAAAAAAAGTTTTCGAATGATTTTTGTAATGTATTCGTTATATTTTACACAGTTCTCTTTTAAATAATTCGTAAATTTTGAATCTAAAACGTGGAGAAACAAATGTAAACAATAAATTCGATTTAACACCAAGTCGTTAAAAATAAAATAAAGGGGGAGAAATTAAAGTAAGAAATAAATATTAGAAAAAGAAAAGAAAAGAAAGAAATAAGATATAAAAGAAAAAAGAAAAAAGATGAAAAGAAAAATCCACCTTTATAGTACATTTACAGACATAAATATAAGTATATCCGTCATATTGAATGTATCGAAAGCTTTTTTACTAAGAAAAAGAAAAAAAAAAAGGACTTTCACACAAGCATACGATGTAAAACGTAATACGTACAATATAAGTACGTATACGTCCGATATAATTCGGAATCGACTATTTTTCTTTTTTAGATT